TCAATGCTTCTCTATTTCATTTCTATTTTTTGAGACAGAGTCTCTCACTAAACCTGAAACTCATTGATCAGCTAGGCTGCCTGGGGAGTGAGCCCCAGGGTCTTCCTGTCTCTATACCCCACCCCCAGGGCAGAGATTACAGGTATGGACCACCACACTGAGTTTTAACATGGGTTCTGGGAATCTGAACTCAGGACTTCATGTGACAAGCATCTTATGGACTGAGTCATCTCCCCAGCCTCTTGGATACTCTTTTTTAAATAGTTTATTTTTGTGTGTGTGCCGGATTGTTCAGAAGTATGCCACATATGTGCAGGAACCCCGGAAGTCCAGAAAAAGGCACCGGATCCTGTGGTTCTGGAGCTACAGGCTGTTGAGAGCCGGCATGTGGGTTCTGGAACTGAACCGAGGTCCTCTGGAAGAGCAGCCAGTGCTCTGCCGAGCCAGCACTCCAGCCCCGTCGGGCACTTTTTAGATTTGGACTAGATATAGGCCTTGGTGAGAGAGTCAACCAATTAAGAGCAATTTCTTACTGGTGGCATGCGCCTGCCATTCCCGGTCTGGGAGGTAGAAGCAGGAGTTCAGGGTCATCCTTGGCTACACAGGCCAGCCTGGGCTACATTAGATCCCGTCATCCCAAAGGGGCTGGGGGCTCAGTGGTAGGGTGTTTGCCTAGCATGCATGAGACTTTGTATTTGATCCCAGCACTGAAGAAAAATATCTGATAAATACTTAAACAAGGTAAAGGCAGATGGTGCTGAGGGCTCTGACTTTCGAGACAGAATGTGTGCTTAGCATGTATGAGGCCCAAGTTCCATTCCCAGCATAGAAAACAAGCAAGCACAACTAAAAATAAATTATATTAATAAAATAAGCAAAACTAAAAATAAATAAAACAAAAATGGCATTCAGGGCTGGGAAAATGGCTTGCCACATGAGCATGAAGACCTGAGTTGAGATGCACAGGGTCCATTTTAATGCTGGGCAGGTGGCCCAAACATCTAGGAGGCAGAGACAAGGAGCTGGCTGGGTGTCTAGACTAGCAGACTGGAAAATTCTTGGTTTGACTGAGAGACCCTGACTCAATAAACAAGATGGAGAGTGATGGAAGAAGATACCTGATACTGGCTTCAGGTACATACATCTGGGCAGGTGCACCCCACACCATGTAGGTGCACCCCACACCATGCAGGTGTACCCCACATCACAAGGTGCACCCCACACCACACAGGTACACCCCACACCACACAAGATACACCCCACACCACACAGATGCACCCCATACCACGCAGGTGCACCCCACACCATGCAGGTTCACCCCACACCCCCACACTACACAGGTTCACCCCACACCACGCAGGTGCACCCTACACCCTCACACTACACAAGTACACCCCACACCATGCAGGTACACCCGACACCACACAGGTGCATCCCACACCACGCAGGTGCACCCCACACCATGCAGATGCACCCCACACTACACAGATGCACCCCACACCACGCAGGTTCACCCCACACCATGCAACTATACCCCACATCATGCAAGTTTACCCCACACCACGCAAGTACAACCTCACACCATGCAGGTACACCCCAAATTGTGCAGGTATACCCCACATGTGCAGGTGTATCCCACATCACAGAGGTGCACCCCACCCCACATACCCTCTCCCACATGCAAGCACACATATGCATATGCATGCACAGAAAATGATGCCCCAGGCAGTCAGGGTTCAGTCAGGGAAGCAAGTAACATTAGGTGTCCTAGTGGGACAGAGTTTGATCTGCGTGTGTCCTCGGGTGGAAGCAGTAACTGAACGTTCAGATGGGATACTCAGGAAACCTGGCAGCATGTCCCAGCAGAAGGGCGTGACGGGCTCTGATGTGAGAAGAGGGCATTCCCCATAAGAAACGCCCCTCCCCCACTGGCCCTGAGATGGCTCGGCAGTTAAAGGCTTTGCTGAACAACCTCGCGGATGGTGTTCAGATCCCAGCACTCCTGTAACAAGTCATGCAGAGTCCCACACATGCCTGGGACTGTACCCCTGAGAGGACAGAAGCAGAAGGAACACTGAGGCTTTCTGGCTTCCAGTTAGCCAGTCTTGAGCCCCAGGTTCAGGTAGAGACTGTGCCTCAAAGGAAGAGATGGAGAGTCAGAAGTTAAAGCCCTCTCCTGGCTTTCACACATGCACTAGGACCCACGTGGTAGAAGAGAGAACAAATTCCCCCAAGTTGTCTTCTGACCTCGGGGTCCCACCATATCTGCAATCAAATAGGAAAATGTTACTGGAAATTTCGAAAAAGAGAAGAAAGCCCCACCCTACTCCAAGCAGAAAGAAAGGGAAGCCATAGCTCCCTTCTCCCCCCTTCCCACTTCCCAGTCTCCACCCACTCCTGCCCAATGTTTGTGTCCGACAGGAAGTCAGTGGGAAAAGTCCTAGGAAATACTATTTTCTGCAGGACAAGACATGTTGCTTACCCCCACCACGGCAGAGACTTAAGTGAAGGACCTTACTAGGCCTCCGAGATTTCTGTGGTAAAATGTTGTCAGCTAGGAAGGTCCTGAGACAGGAAAAAGGTTCGATGAACCAAATAAGTGTGCAGAAACCGGGAGTAGGGGAAGGCGGAAAGATCTAGACATTTAGGAATAGAGATGGCGGAAGGGGCAGGGACAGAATGAGGAAAGGATATGTTGTCTCAAGAAGGGAGTGAGTATGGAGAAAGGAAGGTTATTACATTCGTGTTTTTGTGTGTGGAGCTGAGCTAGTGATAATTTGAGGATGTCGATTTTCTCCTCCCGCCATATGGGCACTGTTAATCAAACTCGGGATTTCAGGCTTGGTGGCAACTGTCTTTACCCACTGGGCAATCTTGCCAGCCCAGGAATGCTATCAATACCTTTAGTGGGGAGTTTGGAAGGCATGGAGAAGAGGCGTGGTTGTAAGTGTTCTCAATCCTTACAGCCTGGCTGTGTGAACTAGGTCTGTTTCTTAGCACTCAAGGTGAGCCTGGGGGCCCACCGTAGCCGCGGGATCTTAGGGTCCTCTCTTCTTGACTAAACAGTCCCTTCCCACCCAAGTCGGCTCAGGCTGCCCCAGGTCCTTTGCACCGCTGTTTCCCGACCGTTTACAAATCTTCTCCTGGTACTGAAATGGCTCCCTCCTTCGCCTTCCAGTGTGGCTTAACTGTTACCTTGCCTAGTCACTGTGTTTAAAGGCGTACCCATGGGTTGGGGACATGGCTCAGTAGAATACATGCCATCCAAGAGCAAGTACAGATCACGACACTTAACTCAAAAGTCCGATGTGGCTGTGCCTGCCCTCCGCTGCTGGGGATCCTGGGACAGAGTGGCTCTGGGGCTCCTAGACTGACCAGCTTAGCTTAATCAGGAACTTTCAAGTGCAGTGAGAAACCTTGTCAGCATTTGAGAGACAGTGGGAACTCTGCGAGTTCTAAGCCAGCCAGGGCTACACAGTGAGACTATGTCCCAAAACCGATTAAAAAAAAAGACCAAATTAAATAGGTTAGATACATAGATGATTGATAGATAGATAGATAGATAGATAGATAGATAGATACATAGATGGTAGATAAAACAAGGAGAGAGGCACTGAGGAAGACATACCCAGTATACGTCTAGCCTCTGCACACACATCTCCACCCCTTCCCTTTGATACCTATTTGTACTTCATTTTCTTCCTTTATTTCTTATGCCACTTATTTAATGTGTTGATGGGGTGGAATAAGTAGAGGTCGAAGAACACCTCGGAGCACCACTTGGATCTTAGAGATCCAACTCAGGTTGCCAGGCTTTGTGGTAAGCAGTTTTACCCACTGAACTACGCACCCCCACACCCTTTCTGGTGGAGGTGGGGATGGAGTCCGGGACTTTAGACATGTTAGGCAAGCCTCTGACGCCGAGCCACATCCCCAATCCTTCCTCAAGTCCTTGTCTGTCTCCCTAATGCAATGCTCAAGGGCTTTGGTCTATAGTTGAGCTGCTTGCCACCTCCAGCACACACCTGACCCATCAGGTCTCAGAACCACTTTACAGATGTGGAAACTGAGACAGACGGGAATAGCCCTCGCTGGATGCCACATCGGGGCAGACCCTGCGTCTCAGTGGGGTCAGACAGTTCAGGACCCCCTAGCTCCCCAAGGTTGGGCTCTTCCGGCTCCACTAGCGGCCGGCGCGGTAAAGGCCTGAGTCATCGCCGCCTCCAGACGGCGGCGGCAGCCGGCCGAGGGCGACGGCGGCGACTGCGGGAGGTGATGCGGGGACGCCAGGAGGGGGCGTGAGTGCAAAACCGAAGAAAGGCGACCGCGCGGGCGCTCCTCGCCCCACCCTGCCGCCTGCTGCGCTTTCCAACCTCCCTCACCAGGGGACCAGCCCAGAGCAGGTCCCTAGATGCTGGAAGAGACTCGATGTATAAGTTCCCCACCTCTACCCCAAGTTTAAGTTGTGAGTCAAACCTTGCACTGGGACTCGACTGTGAAAAGAACTGTCTGGGTCGGCGGCAGTCCCAAGTGGCACCTCGGATGCTCAGGGAAACCCTCCTACTGCCCAAGTGACCCGCACTACAGAGTCTGTACCCGTCACCCCGGGCTTCCCTGGTCCCGAATCCACAGGGGAATCCCCTTCAGAACGATCTGGGACCAGGAAAGCAAGGAGAAAAAGAGTCCCGGCACTCGGGAGAGCACCGAAGTCCAGCCCGCACCGCTCTCTGTACCGCGTCGCGGGCTCGGGACCGGAACCCCCCCCCCCCCCCGCTCCCGACCGAGCAGGTGGGTGGAGACAACCGACTTCCACCCCCTGTCAGCTTTGGGAGGGAGGTTTGGGGTGGATTCTTTCTGCTGCAACGTAGGGGTTTTGGAGAAGGGGTGTTGCATGCATGGGAGCCCGGGGATCGCCACTAGGGTACAGAGGGAACTAGAGTGAGGATGAGGGGGGGTATAGCTGGGGGGCGGGGCTGGGGATGCCGCGGCGGCGGGGGAGGGGCGAGAATGTCGCTGGAAGATGTCCACACTTCTGCAGATGGGGGAAGGTCCCCCAGAGGTTCTTTGGGGAAGTGGGGGACCGGGTGGGTGCACCCTCCCATCATTTCCCCAACCCCGCTGGCTCCAGGGCCGGAGCCGTGACGTCACGGCGGCTGGAAGTGCCCGGCGGTGGCGCGGGAGGGGGTGGCCGAGCCGGCGCCTTATAAAGCTGAGCCCGCGAGGCGCGCAGAGCCGCAGCCGCGCGTCCCCAGTGTCACCCCATCCCCATCCCGCCGGCCACCGCCCCCTTGGACCTGGTCATCTCGGCCATCGCGGCCCTCCATCCCCCCCACCCCACTGGGGTGGGTAAGCGACAGCTTGAGTGCCGAGCAGAAGGGACAGAACACCTGCTTTTTGAGGCGCTGGCGCGGGGCATGAGGCGAGGGGCGCGATGTCGGTGCCGCTGCTCAAGATCGGGGCGGTGCTGAGCACCATGGCCATGGTCACTAACTGGATGTCGCAGACGCTGCCCTCACTCGTGGGACTCAACAACACAGTGTCCCGCGCGGGTTCCTCGGAGAAAATCGTGAGTGGCTACTCGGGCTGGGGGGCGCTCCGGAGGGGGGGCGTGGTGCCCGTAGCCCCCACTGCAGCTCCTGGGAAAAGGACCCCCACAGTTCCAAAGTGACAGAATCTCGGGTAGAAGCAGGGATTTCTTCTCTGGGGGACGTGATCTCTTGGGGGTCCCGGGCTGGACCCCGAAGCACAAGAGAACCTCGCGCCCCGCATAGCCCTGGGTTTGATGATTGCATTTGCTGGGCTAGCGTCCTCTCTGAGGGACCCACGAGTGCCACCGGGGTACAAGCTGGCTCAAGCCCCAGGCGGAGGCGGCAGGGCTGCGGAATTGAACCAGATCCCGGCTGAGTGGGGCGGAGCTGGGCGGTTTTGGGGGAGCCAGAAGGGTGTTCTGCTATGTTGGAGTGGGTAGGGGACACCTCCGAGTCTTCATATATCTTCAGCCTCTGGGACTTTGCTTGGTTGTGTCTAAGTGTCACTGAGGAGTGCTCTCTCTCTGTCTCCTTTCCTGAGTCTCCCCTTCTATCTTCTATTTCTGTCTTTCTTCTGACTTAGTGTCTCTCTCTCTCTCTCTGTCTCTCTCTCTCTCTCTCTCTCTCTCTCTCTCTCTCTCTCTCTCTCGGTCTGGCTCTCTGTCCCCTGCACATGGCACCAGTTTCTTCCTTCCTATGATCTGTTTCCCGGAGGACTGAATATTGATCTCTCTAACTCCTCATCCTGGGAGTTAAGAGGGGGCTCAGACTGGGGTAGAACTCCTCCGCCTCCCTTCTGTTTTATCCCCCTGCTTCCTTCTCCTGGTAGCTTCCTAGGGGGGAGGGGTACACTCAGCTCTGTTCATCCCCGTTGCTCTGTCCTGTTGACAGTGAAGGATGCTTTTGCATTGCAACGTCCCTCGTGCCCCATTCACTGTTCCCATGGGAGCCCCTCTGATCTTTAGTCTGTGGGACTCCCCTTAATTTCACCCACCCATCTCCCTCTTCTTCCCTTCATGTTGTTACAACGTCGTCACCAGTCCCTTTTGCATCCACAATAACTCCTTCCCTCCCCACCAAAAAAGAACTTTGCTCCCAAAAGCTGCAGCTGTGGGATGTAAGGGAGGACACCAGTTCCCCCAGCCCAGGGCATGGCCAACCCCGGGTCAGGGGACATCATGGGACTCGTAGTCCTTTGCAACATGGTGTCTTCTTCTTTGTCTGTGACATCGAGTGTTATTATTTGGGTATATCTTGGTGTGTCTGTCTGCGCCTGTGGTTTGGATGGGCAGTGAAGAGAAACTTAAGTGTGTCGCTGACATACAGGTGCAGATGTATCCTCCCAAGGGTGGGTGTGTCCCTGTGTGGTTGCTTTCAGATGGACATGTGTCCGACACCGCATCTGCGGTTGTATGTCCCTGACTATGGGTGTGGGTGTGTATATGAAGTGAGTCTGTATGCACAGGTGTGACACAGCCTTCTGACTGTTGTCATCAGAGTGATGGAGTCATTGAAATCATAAGTCAAATTCACCTATCCATCCGAGTGGGAGTCTGCGTGAGTGCCTGTGTGCTGTGTGAAAGTGTGTATACAAGCACATGTGCAGGGTGTGTAACCATGTCTTTGAGCTATGATTTTTGTTTATGCTTAGTACATTTAGTGTGTGTGCTTGTACATGCATGCATGCCATAGTACACATGTGACGATCAGAGGACAACTTCTCTCCTTCCGCCATCTGGGTCCTAGGATCAAACTAAGGTCACCAGGTTTGGTGGCAAGTGACTTAACCCAGCCTTGAATTATGAAGTATGATTTTGTGTGTTCATACATTAAATTTTTGTATGTTTATATATACTTATGTTTATGGATGCCTGGCTGGTATACATGTGTGTTGCTTTTTGTGTATTATGTTTCTCTAAGTGTGGGGGAATGTGTTTGTGAACCCAGACAGACCTGGCCCCTTGTAGCTAACAGTACCTTGGTGTAGAGTTCCCCCATGCCTATCTCCGGAGGCCCCCCAGTTCTCTCATCCTCACCCAGCCCTTTCTCCACCTGTCCTGCAGTCTTCCCATGACTTCCCAAAGTGCTCTGCAGGGGGAGTGGCTGAAGGTGTTAGGGTGACACCTGGGAGGTAGCTGTGACATGAGGATGCTCAGCAAGGGTCTTGGAGCTGGGGGACTGACTGCTGTAATCCTAGCAACTGGGAGAGTGAGGCAGGAGAGTAGCCACAAGTTTCAGGTCAGCCAGGCCATAGTGTGTCTCTTTCTCAAAAAACGAGGAGTTAGAGGGTTAACTTAGCATTAAGAACCCTGGCTTCTCTTGCAAAGGACCCCAGTTCCCAGCACCCATAATGGGGCTCACATCTGTAATTCCAATTCCAGGACCACCGATGGCTGCTTCTGGTCCCTGAAGTCACTAGATATGTGGTACACAGACATACATGTAGGCAAAAGTCCATACACATACAAAAATGAAAGAAGAAAAACAAGGGCTTTTTTAGGTCTGTGTAGAATCTAGATTACTCCAACTTGTTCTCCAACTCTGGCCAATGGCAACAGCATCCCAAGCTAATGCCCCTGAGAAAGTCAGTGATAAATCCTATCTCAGAATTATGGGCGACAGAGCCCTCTTCAGAGCCCCATCCATCATCCATCCACCCACCCATTATTCCAGCCACTCATCTACTCTCCTATCCCTCCATCTGTCTTTCCTCCAGCCTGCCATCTTTCCTTCCATTCACTCAGACAGCCATCTGTCCATCCACCCACTTTTCCTTTCTTTCATCCATGTGTCCATTCACTCATCTTTTCATCCACCCATCCTTTCATTTCTCCATCCATTCCTTCACCCTTACACCTGCCTCCATCCACCCATCCACCCATCCATCCACCCATCCACCCATCCATCCATCCATCCATCTACCCATCCATCCATCCATTTACCCATCCATCCATCAATTTACCCATCCACCCATCCATCCATCCACCCATCCATCCATCTACCATCCATCCATCCATCCATCCATTTACCCATCCATCCATCAATTTACCCATCCACCCATCCATCCACCCATCCATCCACCCATCCATCCATCCATCCACCCATCCATCCATCCATCTACCATTTACCATCCATCCATCCATTTACCCATCCACCCATCCATTCATCCATCCATCCATCCACCCATCCATCATCCTGGCATGGATTCACCCTTCCTTCCATGCATACATATATACATGCACACACCAATCCCTCTTTCTGTCCATTATCCACCACCCCACCATCTGTCAGTCCACTATTCACAAATCTGTACTTTAAACATCCCTATCTCTATTCTCATCCATTAATTTGTCTCCTAGACATTTAATTTACTTAGCAAAACTACCCACTACCCCTTCTATGCCAAATATGTATACACTGAAACAAACCTTCCTGCCCTGGATCTTTCAGAACAGATGCTCTGTCAGTGCTAGGATCTTGAGTTGGATGTGTGTAAGTTTTAATTCTGGCCCTGCAACTTACCGAACCATGTGACTTTGGGGGAACTCACTGAATCTTTCTGAACACCAGTTTCCTTATTAGGTAAGGAGAATTCAGAGTCTCTACTAGATGATAATGCCCATGAAGGACTGGTGTTGAGGTTCAGTGCTACAGTGCTTGCCTAGTGCTCAGCCTTGTGTTCAGTCCCGACACCACAAAGGCTGCTACTAGTACCTACAAGGAAGCACTGGTTTTGCTCATTGCTGCCTCCTGTGGCCTGATGCAGCAGGTTCACAATATTTGCCATGCAGCCGAATCTGTAAACACATCCGAAATATTCTTGGGCCTCTATTACATCCAAGCACATAGTGAATCTAGAATGAGTGTTTTTCATGTTTTGGGGGCTGAGGAGGTGGATGAGTGGGTACAACATTTGCTTTACAAATGTGAGGACCTGAATTTGAATCTCCTAAACCCAGTAAAGTTGGATGCAACCATACATGTCTGTAGTACAAGCACTCCTATGGAGAGATGGAGACTGGAAAATTCCTGAAGTCTCAGGGGCCAGCTAGTCTGGCATGTACAGTGGTGAATGAGAAACTGTTTCAAACAAGTTGAAGTGTAAGAACAGACATTTGAGGTGTGACCTCCACACGTACAACATGGCATGCATGCTTCTACTCACACATGAGTATACATACATGCACATTCTTACACTCACACACACACACACACACACACAAACACATCAAGAGTAAATATATTTTCAAAATTTTAAGTTAATTTTATCTATAAAATATGAATAACATTTTAAAATTACATTTATTTAGTTCCTGTATGTGTGTGGAATGGGTATCTGTGTGCTATAGGGCACATGTGGAGGTCAGAAAACAAAACCAGTTCTCTTCTTCCACTATGTGGATTCTGGAGAAAGAGCTCAGGTTGTCAGGCTTGACAGCAAGTGCCTTTACCCACTGAGCCCTCTCGCCAGCTCAGGTCATTCTTACCCCCACAGAACTGTGTGGACAATGGAGGTCTAACCCCCATTCCTCCATCCATCCATACATACATACATACATACATCATCCATCCATACATCACCCATACATACATACATACATACATCACCCACCCATACATACATACATACATCATCCATCCATCCATCCATGCATCTTTATAACCATTACCTTTTCCTCCACTATACCTCTGCCTTTCCTCCTTCCATCTATCCATTCTTTGTCTCTTCTGTTTATCCATCCTGTCATCTTTCCATCCTTTGACCCCAAGGGTTGTGGAAAACATACTGAAAACTCCTAGTAGGTGCTTAATAATGAGTTGTGGGAAAGGGGTAGAACCCCAAAGAGGGGGAGGTTAAGAGGGTAAAATCATACACTGTGGGAATTCCTAAGCAATGACTCAGAAGTTTGGGTGCTATGCCTGGGTTAGTAAAGAGCCTCCGTGGTGTTGACAGTGAACCGTGATGCGGGATGGGCTTGTCTCTGAGTCTACCCCCCTCCCCCCCGCTCCGCCTCTCCATGATGCACAGAAGCAGCAT